GTGTGTGTGTGTGTGTGTGTGTGTGTGTGTGTGTGTGAGAGAGAGAGAGAGAGAGAGAGATGCTGTCATTAATGGAGAACGCATTTGTATACATCATACTCTCTGTGTGTGTGTGTGTGTGTGTGTGTGTGTGTGTGTGTGTTTGTGTGTGTGTGGGGGTGTGTGTGTGTGGGTGTGTGCGTGTGTGTGTTTGTGGGAGAGAGTTGGCCTTAAGAGACTGTGGTTTCCAAGTTTACCAAGCCCAAAAAGAAAAAGAGTATTTAAGGAAATGGAAAAAAAGAAAGGCAACAGGAACAAAAAAAAAAAAAAAAAACTTGCGAAACTGTGCTGTGCAACCAATTTGCCGGCTTGAGTTTTTATTGCTGGTCGTCTGAACTGAACTGCTGAAAGGAGATCCGTTTTTGCCTAAAAAAACTGCATTTTTTACTGAGAAGTTATTGCCTCTGGAACAAAAAGCGAAAAAGTGCATCAGTAACATATCAGGGCAAACTTACAATTGGACCTTCTCCACTGATCTCTGTACATAATTGCGGTCAATTGCATCCGCATCCAGCGGCAATTGCCATCAGATACATTCAGGGGAGTCCAGAATATACTCACAGTACTGTCTTCACCCAAATAGAACGGCCAGTCATAATAATTGCTGTATCTAATCTGAAAGTTGCCCAAAATACAGCTGTAATTAACAGCCTTTCTATTCGGGTCTGAATCGGGTGACGATGGTTTGGCCCTTATAATTGCAGAATGATCGCAGAATTGCCAAATCAGCGGCCAGATAGAGTCCCTCTTTTTTTTCAATATAATTAGGACTCAATTAACCACTGGTGTCGATTTGGCCACCGATTTCGTGATTCTGCGATCTTAAGGGCAAGGCTAGTGTGAGTGTGCCCTTAGTCTGAGTACCCTCTCAAATTTTGAAAAGGCGTAGACAAACTCGTCCAGTCAGCGGCTAGTATCCTGAACATTGTCAAGCAGTCAGCCTAGCAAATGATCCGCACCTTTCCGATGTCTAAGTGCGTTCGGATGGCGTTATTTTTGCCCTGTATATTTGGCGGGCTATTGCTAGTTTCTTTTTCTTTATTATAAAACTAACCTATACATTCTTCTCTCGATATATCTCCCACTACCTACCTACCTACCTACACGCAGCTTAGCAATCCACTACAGGGTTTTTTTTTTTTTTGGTGCCCAAGGCAGGAAATCTATCCTAAGTTAAGAAGCCACATCTGCTCTGTGCGGGGAGCAGCACGGAAGCTTCTAACACCAGGCGCGAGCTGGAAGGCGCAAATGGCCGCTTGCCAGCCAGCCAGGAGGCCTCCAAGCCAATTATCTCCGCTGGAGAACCCGAAGCGCATCACAGCAGGCCGTGGGGATAGAATGGAGGACGTGGGGAATCGAACCCACGACCTCCTGCAAACCACTTCCATGCTCAAACCAAATGAGCTAGCCCGCTTGGGCAGCTATTGCTAGTTTCTATTCCTCGAGGACTCTGCATTTCAGTCACCAAACAGTGGAGATACCATTTATGTCTTCTTTCAGCTAGACTGGAACATAAACGTTTTTCCGACTTAAAGTTTCCGTTTATAATTTTGAGAGAAGGTATCAGAGCACTGCCAGGCTCAACTCTGTAAACGTTGGCGGCATTGCACAGTCTTCGTGGGCAATTTGAGAAAATCATTTTAGCAGCTTTACGAAGATATCGCAAGTCGTTGGCGACTCGACAACCTCAAAAGTGCATCTGGAACATGCTATGTTCCATGTTCGGTCCCATGTGGGACTGGAACGAGTCCCTTGGCAATGCCCCCTTCCTTGCACACGAAACAACTTCAAAGCCAGGTGTTTTTAACTTTTTGTACAATATTAGGTGCTCTAATGGGCGCCTGTTTGACACCAGGAATTGGCAGGAAGCCAATTGAATGTCATCCTTTTTTTTTTTTTTGGGGGGGGGGGGGGGGGGGAAGAAGTGCGGACGGGGCAGGTTTCAAACTCGAACGGGCCAAAAAAACGCGCACGGGCGAAACAAACACCCGCCAAACTAGAAGAGGCACATGTGGGCGAAATAGATAGGTTGGCCCTTTTTTTTTTTCCCCTATCCCCGTCTGACATCACGGCCTGCCCCCGCAATTATGACTTATGACACCTGTGGCTCTGTCACGGCCGCAGCGCTCTCGTTGCGTTTTCGAGTTTGGTTGCTGTTTGTTTTGCCCGCGCTTGTTTTTTTTCGCCCATTCGAAGTTCTGAGATGACATAACCGAACTTACACC